TAGTAGTTCAATATAATTTTGAATGCGAGTCAACAAACGAGATGACATGGCCTTTCACCTGTGACCCATCTCAAAAGGTTTAAGTTTAAAAGTGGTGAGTCCATGATTTATGTAACATGTTACCAAAATATAATCTTGTCACTTGTTCACTTTGTTTTTTTGTGTGTGAAGTTCACATATAGTTACAGTAAGGCTGATGACAGTTTTTAAGTTTGTTGTTGTTTTTTATGTCAAGTTCACATGTAGCTACAGTAAGGTTGGTGGCAGTTATTCAGTTTTCTTGTATGAAGCATACAGACAGTTACAGTAAACCTGGTGGCAGTTGTTCAGTTTGTTGTGTTTTGTGTAAAGTGTAAATGTAGCCACAGTAAAGCTGACTTCAGATATCGTCTGTTATTTTGGGTATTACTGATAAATGGTAAATGATCACCTGTTCTTATTGTCCCATTAGCTTGTCATCGTGTTTTACCACAAATTACTTCATAATCATCTATTATTGAATTTTCTAAGAGATGTGGACTGTTATTATTGCAATCTTAATTATGATGTTTTCAGTGTATTCCTACTGAATATTTATTAGTCAATTTTTATTATGTCTCCAAGTTAATATATATTAACCTTTATTTTTGGTACATCAAATTCTCTGTAGTTGTCTGTAACTAACAGATGTCATTGTTGTGTTTGACACTAACTACTCTATAGCCATCAGTTAGGTTTCCAGCATAATAGATATAGTTTATAATTTTTTAATTTTTAATATTGAATGCTTAATACTAATCTTTTATTATTTTTATACAGTAATCAAAATACACTTTTTTTGTACATTGACTTTGTAATAATCATCTGTTGTGTTTCCTAGGTAATGGATATAGTCATCCATCGTTTTCTAGAGCTTGCACCAGTGGCTCCTGTGTCAATGTCTGTTGAAGGATTACTGGATCAATTGGGTTGTCTTTACAAATTCCATGGTAAGAAAACTCAAATGTGAGACATTGGATATCTTTACCTGTCATCATTTTCCGGAATAAATAGTATCAATATTTGCATTCCTGTATTTTATTTTTTGTAAGAGCTACTTTACTTTTGAAACAACTTTTACTTTATCAGTGCTTGTTTGGTATTTTTTGTGAATTATATGTATAATTGATTACTCTAACATTAAAAAAAAATTTAATAATGAAGTGAAAAGAAAAAAGCATTTTTACACAGTTTAAGTATTAGGATTACAACAGACTTGTAAAGATTTTTTTAGATTGTACATGCTGATATATATCTGTTGTTTCTTTTTGTCCAGATCATCCTGTTACATATCTGTACAATACCCTTCATTATTATGAACAGAAGTTGAAGGACAGGTCAACATTGAAGAGAAAATTAGTTTCCTCAGTTATTGGTATGTAAAAGGCAATAATGTGTGAAATTGGTACATATCTTACTTTTTCTTGTAACATATTTACTCTTATGTACATAAAACTATTTAATCTTGAATTTTTAAAGTTGAAAAAGATCATTTGCATTAAAATGAAAATTTACAAACACTTCAACTTGTATACAATATTCTGAATAGTTGTTCCTTTTTTGTTTTACTTTTCTTTTTATTGAAATAATTTCATAACAGTGGAATTAAACCGATAATATTAAAGAAAGAAAATATTTAACACTAATAAATGTCTTTATTTATGTACAAAGTGCTTGAAATGTTTGTTCTTCTAATTTTCACAAATCCTCTTTTCTGATCTCTTTTTCTGCTTTGGAAATTGCTGTCACACATGGAAATTCCTTTTCAAAACCAACTTGAGTATTTCCAAGTTTGTTAGGATGAATTAATGTTAACACAAATGACCTCACTAAAGAATACCTAACTTGTTTTTACTTTCTAGAGTGACTGAAGATTGTAACAGAAAAGTACAATTATTTATCCTAAAAGTCTTGGACTTGTAATAGTTTACATCTGTATTCATTTAATTTTATTGTTTCATTGTTCTTTGAATCATCTCTAATTATTAAATCTGAGAAATTACCCAGTGAGTAAATAACTCATGGTAAGCAAAATACTGAATTATGTAACACACTTGCAACGTGCGTGCATACCTCACTGGGACTGTTTTTCTTTTCTTATCTGATAAGTTTCAAATTTTTACATTTTATTACTTTTATAACAATAAATAAAAATATACATAAAAACAAGAAATTTAGTACTTTTGTGCAAGTCTTGTACTTTTTTCGCACTCAGAGTCTTGATAAAAGTTAACCCAAGTACAATGGAGAGATTTTGGGAAGTCTATTGTGATCTGTGATATAAGGTAAACCTTACAAGCCACTGCAGAATTGTATTACATTGGAATTTATTGTCTTAGGCAATAACTTGTAATCAAATTCATCAGACTGACATGACAGTGGAGGGAGTAGTTCAAAAGCATTAGTCATAGACCATCATTGATATAAAGTATTGTTAACTTTCAGTATATGTATATCTCTAAATTGTAATGCTACAACATTAAGTTAATGTGTTGGTTTTAGGTTCTCTGAAAGACATCCGTCCTCGAGATTGGGCATTAACTGAAGACTTTTTAGCTTATGCCCAACGCCCTCCTGAAGACATCAACTGGATGCCAGAACTTGACTACTATGTTCGTCTTATGGAACGTCTAGTAAACAGTATCACTTTTTAAAGTACCAGTAAATTTAAATTTTCAAGTTCCTTAATTAAATGAATAAAAAAGCTTATGTTTAAATGAGTTAACAACTCTGGACTTGTTTGTTCTAAAAGATTGACTTCTAGTAGAGTATCACTGTTGGAAAGTAAACCTCAATGTTCCATTGATAATGAGATTGTGTTTTCTAGTAGAGTATCACTGTTGGAAAGTAAACCTCAGTGTTCCAATGGTAATGGGATTGATGTTTTCTAGTAGAGTATCACAGTTAACACAGAAACCTCAGTGTTCCAATGGTAATGGGATTGTGTTTTCTAGTAGAGTATCACAGTTAACACAGAAACCTCAGTGTTCCAATGGTAATGGGATTGTGTTTTCTAGTAGAGTATCACTGTTAACACAGAAACCTCAGTGTTCCAATGGTAATGGGATTGTGTTTTCTAGTAGAGTATCACTGTTAACACATAAATCTCAACATTCCAATGGGAATGGGATTGTGTTTCTAGCAGAGTATCATTATTAACACAGAAACCTCAGTGTTCCAATAGGAATGGAATTTTGCCTAGTGCAACATTTCTGTGTGACACTAATATCTTATTTTTAGTCAGTAAGGATTTGTAAAATAGAGAACGCCATAAGGTTTATTGTTACAAGGTCCTCTTTACTGATATAAATGATATCTGTACATATATAAATCTCAAGTATGAGAAACATATACTACTGTATTAACTCACTAACTTGGTTCAGCTGTTTCCTCATAACAAATTGTGAAACCAGACAGACAAACAACTCAGCTTTATGTATGAGTATAGGCAGATAGATAGATATGAAAATTGATCACTACTACTGAACTTAGTTTCTTATTCTTAACCTAAATCTCTCAGCTATTAATGGAAAGCATGTTTTTCCACACATGGACTGGCGTTTCAATGAATTTCCAAATCCAGCTGCCCATGCTCTTCACATTACTGGTGTGGAAATTATGGCTTTACCAGTGTCAGCAACTACAGTGGGATCCAGCCTCCTTGATGTGGTCCTGAAAGGGTAGGTTAATAGTTATCATTCTTTCTCTACACTTTCTTCAGGATAAAACAGTATGCTAAGTCTTAGAAGTGATCGACAATGGTCTACATATTTTAATAGTCACGTAATCCTAAACATGACTCATCACGTGTAAGTATTTGTATACTTAATTCAGTTAATCCTATATATGGCTGTCTATTGAGAGATATTTGTTATTTAATTGGAAAATGACTTTTCTTGTAGACTAGATGTTGAGCTACATAATCATAGGAAAGACTGCTTTTGATATGGCTAATGAACTAAAAGAACTTAAGTTACAGACAGAGTTTTCTGGTTGGAAGTAATGAGTTACCTTATACTAAACCTCACTGACTACACTCACAACAAAAGTTTACAATAATATATAAAAATAATAATGATATTCCTTAAGAAAAACGTACATGCATCAAAACTAATTTTTCTCTTCTTAGCTTATGTTGGTTTACAATCTTGTATAGATATGGTTATCTAGGGTTGATAATAGATTATTTTGTTCTAGTTAAGGCACTTAATTTGTTGATATTTGCTCATAACCCTAGATATGTTATATAGAATATATAATAGGTTATCCAGTTTTAAGCAAGGTTCTTTAGTTATTTATATTTGATTCATAGTCTTAAGTACATTATATAGAATAGATAATATGTTATCTCTCTCCAAATGAAGTTATTTAGTTATTTATCTTGGGTTCATAGTCCTAGATAAGTTATATGGAGTAAATAATATGTTATCTTATGCTAAAGTGATTATTAGAATGAATTTCACATCAGCAAAGAAGTATGTATTCTCCATCATGTACATGGGAGTATAAGAAATTATGTAAATTTTGGATTACTTAGACATACATACAGGTTTGTAATGGTAGATGACTTATAGTGATTATTAGAATTTTACATAAGCAAGGAAGCATGTATTCTGTGTCATTTACATGGAAATTTAAAGAACTTAAAGAAATGGAATGGCTTTTATAATACACAATTAATTTTTGAAAGTTTTGTACAAGTTCTTGTAAGTATTAGACTAGGATACAATTGTGAGATATTATCACTACTTGTAGGTAATAACAAATCAAGAAATATGTTGTAAGAAATGATTGAAAGACATAAAAAAATGTTAAAGTGAGCATTTCTTTCCATTTGATTATTCTAATTTCGAAATATTCTTGTTAGACTAATGTTAAAGAAAAGTTGAATAGATATCTATAAAGTTGTTTAAAAGTGGCTTAACTTTTATGAAAAATAAATAAATTAGAAAGGAACTTATAAAATGGTTTAAACGAAGAAAAACTACAAAAATATAAAATTATATTATAGTTTAAATGAAAGAGTATTTTGAAATTGATGAATTTGGTTGTTAACTGTACTCACAGTAAAAGTTTACAATAATATATAAAAAAAGTAATAATAAAATTCCTTAAGAAAAAAGTCCATACATCAAAAGTAAATTTTTCTCTTTGTTTATTTGTTTTACTTAGTTTTTAACATTCATTTCTGAGTTATTACTTTTATTGAATATTTTAAAAGGTTTTTTTTTTTTGGTCATCCATAAATATTTTGCCTAATATTTGAAAACTTTATGTGTCTCATATCTGAATGTATACATTTCAATTTATAAATTTATTTATTTTTGAATGTCCAGGACTAGAAAATTATTTATAATACTGGCATGGTTATTGGCAGCATAATTTCAGTAGATGGTTGGGAAGTTTATTAGTCATAATGAAATTATTTAACAAATGTGGTGTTTATTTGATTACATTTTAATTTTATCTTTGAATTCTTATTTCTGTGTAGAAACATAAAATAGAAAAGTATTATTCATACTTAGTACCATGAAAGATATTCTTCCTTGAAAGTAACTATTTTATGAAACAAATTATTTGTGAAGCTCCCTAGCTATTTGTTCATTACTGCTGAGGGAGTACCAGGTCAAGTCATTGAAGTAATACAACAATGCAATTTCCTTCTCTTAGTTACTAAGAAATTATGGTGCAATCTTGTTAAAAATATAAACTAATAATAGAAGGATCCAAGAACATACAGCTTAACTGAACTGGGTTAATGAATCTTGGATTACTTCACAGTTTTTGAAGTTTAGATACCTCATAATTCCGATACAATACATTACCTCCACTCACATAGCTATTCATGTTCAGTGCTACCCTCTAAATGCAAAAAGCATTTTTACACATGCCACAAGCCTTTATCTCCACTCCATTGGAATCGACTGATTCTAATGCATCTCTCATGCAAATCATCTTGCGTCAACTCTCCAACATTAAGAGTGCAGCATACTCTCATGACGTATGTGACTCCCTCTATTCAATTCTACCAACTATCACTTCTCATTTGGCAGTACTCGTGTTCAGATGTTCTTTTCTTATGGTGCTCTTAGTGTGAATTGTTTTTGTGGTTTTAATAGTTTAATTTCTGAAGTGGGATTTCTTTATTACTTTATATTTTTTACATTGTAGAAATCATTTAATTTCTCAGTCTTTATTTTTTCTCTCACACTCATATTTTACATCAAACACTTTTGTTTGATTTATGTATTTCTACAATGAATTTTGAGGCTCATGTTCCCATTTCAGGGGTTATACCTCTAGCACTATTTTCACAGGCTTCAGGTAGGGGAGACCCATCGTTGAATTTCTCTGCTATTATTCGCCGTGAGATTAATCATTATATGGGTCAACATTCTTCTCCTGAACTTGCCACACTAATCCTCCTGAACAAACTGAACCTGTTCGAGTTGATGAAGATTTGATAGCCTTTTTACAACACCGGATTTTGTCGTGTCCTTTCCTACCCCTTCTGCAGATTCAGCTAGGTTTAATACAGCATTTTTGACATGATTTCTCAGGTATGTGATATTTTATCCAATTCCCTATTTTTCTATGATTCCTTATTACTTCCATGTTGGCTCTTTTGTCGTCTTCAGGTCTCGCTTTACAAATTTGGTTTCACTGTTGTTCCGATCTTCTGGGTCATGATGCGACCTTGTCCTGGGTTTGTTTGCTGCCTCTTTCTCTTATGGATTTATATATGGCTCTTTTTTCTTTGGTGATATGTTTTCTATCAAGTATCTGAGACTTTGGAATCACGTGTGTAATATGTGTGTCAACACTCTACACCTTCCTCTTTGGTTGCATGTTTGTCACTGTTGGAGCTACGACAAGCCCCCTATTCCTTTCCCATCCTTGTCCTTATCTACCCTTACCTGTTCCTTTTTACAGGGTTTTCATTTTGTCGTTTTATTCAATATTGATAGGCATGTCACCCACAGTACCAGAGACTAACCAGTGGGTTCCAGTCCAGTAGGAGCTTGACTGCATGATTTTGTTACCCTCTGGCATCTTTCAATACAGATCCATGGGTTCTTCAGGTTTTATCAGAGGGACTTGTCCTACTATTTCTTTCCCCTCTTCCTTTGTCTCAAATACCCTTTTCCTTCCCCCTTGACTTGAGATCCTACCACCAGCCAGCATTCGTCCGAGGTGGTACAGAAGTTTCTGTCTCAACAGGCCATTGCACCTGTTCATCATCTTTCTCCAGGCTTTTAATCAAGGCTGTTTTTTGTCCTCACAACAAACCAGGGACTGGCAGCCTGTACTAAGTTTGTTCCACCTCAATCTAATTTTCAGTCTGCCCTGTTTTACCTTGGAGCCTTTCTCATGTATAGATGGGCTTTTTCTTTCAGGTTTATAGATGACCATGACCCTCTATTTAGTTTGTTCTCCACCGGGTGGTCTATCTGTTTCACACACTGCCATTTGGACTTGCTTTGGCTCTGTATGCTTGTTGGGTGGTCAAAACATTCATTTGCTACTTACATGCTCTTAGGTTGTTCCTTCCTCTTTTTTTGGATGACTGGCTACTGTTAGTTTGCTCCAAACAGGAATCTGCCTGTTTCCCTTATCAGCTACTCTTGGAGGTGGCTATAGTGGACTGGTTGATCAAGTTGAAGTCTTTACAGTAACATATCCAATGTCTTATCCATTTGGGTGTTTTCTTTTTCAACACCCATCTCAGTCAGGCTCACCCTTTTCCATTTTAACTTCATTTAATGGATTTTCAGTTCTATTACAGCTCATGAGGGTTCTATTGCTTTTGGGGATGTAACCTTCCATGGTAACCTTAATCCCCTTAGGTCAGACTCATATGTGGGCTCTTTCATAGACTCTTCACGACCAGTGGAACCTTGCAAGGGATCCTTTCTCGGTTCTTATTACCCTTCTTCCTACCTTTATTGATGATCGGCATTGATGGTTAGACACGACTTGCATGTTGATTGGTGTCCCGCTTCCTCTTTCGCATCCGGATTTACACATTTAATGAACACATCTCTTCGGGGATGGGGGACATGGTTTGATTAACAGGAAGATTCGGGGTTTTGGTCTGCGGCCAAGAGGTCTTATCATATCAACATCTTGGAACTTCTCACTGTATGTCATGTTTTGGTTCATTTTCTCAATCTGGCACCCATTCTCGATCCCCCTGTATTCATACATTGGATCTTCTTTTTGGGCCCACGTACTTGATATTCGTATCCTTGCATGTCATGTTCTGGGTGCCTTAGTTTTGGTCTCCAGTACCTCATCTTCTTACTCTGGCTATCAATGTTTTCAGCCATGATGGGACCAACACATTTTCTATCCTACTGTTCTCCTTCTTCTCCAGGAGGTTTCAATCATCGTTGACATTCCATGTTCAGTCCTTTTTATAGCTCCTTCCTGACCATCTCAGCTGTTGTTTCTGTGGCTCCTCCAGCTCCAGCTTCCTCCTCCATTACCTCTGAACTTGTCTCTTCTTTGCCACCCTCAGTTAACAGTGTTTCATCTGGACCTTCCTGTCCTGCATCTTCATGCCTGGTTTTTCTCTGGTCATTGACGAGGAGATCTGGCTTCTCCGGATTGTTAGCTTCTTTTCTGGCTTGTTTCATCTGCCCTTCCTCCATGGAAGTTTCTCATCACAAATGAAACATTTTCTGTTGTGGGTTTCTGGGTCCAGGGTTTTCCCCTGATCAATACTCTTGTTACTCTGTGTTGTGGGTCATGGTGGAGGTACTTGCAGATTATTATGGTTCTTCCCCTTCCGCTATCCCTTGATGCTTATTATTCTGAGGATGTTACTGTGCTTGGGGTGATTCTGGTCAATTTCATCTTTGAGGGAGATGGTTTACATTACACAGACATCTTTTAGATACCAGATGTTGACTTCCCGGATCGAAATACATCAATTTCTTATACTAACATGTGCCCTGTTCATGGGTCTGAGGGTTTTTGATTCCTTCCGGCCTCATAAACTTGATGTGAAGATGGTATAATCTTCTTTCCTACTCCCACATGGATGTCAGTTCCCAGTGGCCTGGGTTTTGGATTCTAGTTGACTTTCCACCAGTATGATCCTCTTTCCTATCCCCTCATGGATGTCCGGTTCCTGATGGCCTGGGTTTTGGATTGTAGTTGACTTGCCACCAGTATGATCCTCTTTCCTATCCCCTCATGGATGTCCGGTTCCCGATGGCCTGGGTTTTGGATTGTAGTAGACTTGCTAATGGTATGATCCTTGTCCTACACCCACGTGGATGTTGGTTCCCAGCAGTATGGGTTTTGAATGTAGTTGACTTGCTGTGTATGGTCAGTCACACCCTAGCCACTCTACACCTTGGACACATCCTTTTAATTTACCCACTTTTATAATTTCTGGGATAAATTTGCATAAATATTATATGGTTTGTATCACTATCGGACTTTAGTTCTCTCCCACTAGGATGTGCTCCTCTGTTTTCTGCTCGTGTATACGACATCTTTCTACAATGGGCAAAGAGTATACCTGGTACAGAAGTGGTGCAGTCCCCCATATCAGATTTTAGAATCTGACTGTATCCTCTTAGGGAGTGTTCTTCAGATGCTTTTGAAGGATTCTTTTTCTTTCCTTTACACTGGTCCCTCCACCTATTTAATGTGGGATTCCTGCTATTTTCCTCTGCTAAAAATATATTTCCGATAGATACTTACCTCCCCTCACACTTTCCACCCTTCTTCCCCACTGAAAACCGGTGCTTCCATTTTCTGCCAAAACTCGAGATGATAGTTCATTATAATTGAATAGAGAGAGTCACATGCATCATGAGAGTATGTCGCACTCTTATTGGTGGATGGTTGAAGAATGATGATTTGTATAAGAGACACATTGAAATCAGTCAATTCAAATGGAGGGGAGATAAAAGGCTTGTGGCATGTGTATTTTTTTCTTATAGAGGGCAGCACTAAAGGAGAATAGCTATTTATGTGAGAGAAGGTAAATACTTGTTGGAAATACATTTTCATTGTAGGAAAATTATAACTGTGTTAGTACATTACAATGTTTGGGTTTCATGTAGTTGCTGTTGAGCTTGGTGTGGCCTAGTGGTTAGCATGTTGGTCTACAGATTGAAGGGCCTAGGTTCAAGATGCTATGCTACTGAATACACAGTGATATTTCAGCTGTGGACATGTTATTAAAGTGGCACAGTCAATTATTTGATTTGATGCAAGAAAGCATTGACAAAGCCATTGTGGTGGCAGATGCTGCTAGCTGGCTGTCCTCTTTTTTGGTTAGTAATTCAATATTAGGGATGGCTATATCTGAATCCCAAGGGTCTCTAACCTGACCATTTAGCCCACATACACATAAAGTGACATTTAGGTTGACAGTTTCATTCATATGTACATCATAGTGTGCAAATTTTATATTGGCCTAAGAACATGAGGTTAAAATGGAAATAATCATTCTTGCTGTTTATTATAACCACACACAGTGTAATAGCATAGTCATATCTACACATAAATATTTCTCGAGAAGTAAACTTTTTTTTTACTCTGAATAATCTAGAAATTACCCTATGCATTTTCCTTTTTTTCAGCCATGCAGTGTTACCTCGAGCCAACATTTCGTCCTGGATGAATGCTGTTGGATTAACTCTCACAGCTCTACCTGTAAGTTAAGACATCAAAATGCCATAGTTTTGAGCTGGCTGTAGAGGAATAATTTCATTACCTCTATAACCCTCAAAGATCTACCTATATAAGTATGTTTTCTTCATAGCTACTTAGAACTTGTGAAATGCCAAGTGATGTAAGATGTTTGCATTTCATAAGTGCCTTTAACACTGTGAAAGGATCATCCAATTAAAAGAATAAGAGCATGTTTATACTTTAGAGCTTTTAACTGTCTACGAAAGAAATGTCAGCTCATGTCATGATCATCACAGTTGATGTTTGAGAGACATGACTGGCAAAAGGGCATTATCTGGAAGGTTTTTTTTGGTCACACTTTTTGTCTTGAACATTATATTATGACAAAATTTCAGGACACTAGCATATTCTAATGGAAAAATTGAGCCCTCAACCAGGAACTTGATAATCCATAATCTACCTTATCAACTTGATGAAGCAACATGCAAGTGTTCTGATATGTTGTTAAAACATAATATTCAAGACAAAATGTTGAATAGTAAAAATCTTCTACATCAGAATTAATGTTATTTTAAACTTCTAAGTTTCTGTGAAAGGTTAAGTTAATTGATAACCTACACAGCACTACCATTAAACATATGTTACTTTTGAGTATGCCTTCTAACTCTGTCATTAGGCATATGTAAGTTCAGATTGTTTTATTGCTCATCAAAAATAAACTGTGCAACTCTCAAAACTCTTACTTTAAAATTAAGTTACTTCTCTTTCAGAGTTTTAGATTATTTTTAGATCCATATATTATGAAGGTCCATAGCCATATTACCAAATAATCACATCAAAAGACTAGTGTAACTTTTCCAGTGATATCACATTGGTTGCTCTGTCATTTGCATGTGAAATATTAACTAACAGCCTACATTGGATATCATGATCAAATGTATAAGGCATGTTTGATCAAGTTCTGTCAATAAAGTAATTTTGTTTGGTGCAACATAATACTTACTATAATAATAATAAAAAACATTGTTACATATCAGTAAAAGAAGTGTAGAGTCTGGGTAAATAAATCATTGTCAAGGCTTTTAGCAAATCACTACATGCTAATTAGTTTTACCCTTCATTTCAACTGCTAAACCGCTACCATCTTCAGGGAATTCTTGACAAGGACTGTTATGCGATGACAGGAACCAGGGATAGAACAACTGGCTTTCTTACAATGAATACCTTGGTTTGAATCCAAGTTCCTTCCACCACAACAGGAATTAGTTTGATTAGTAATTAAACTTAGGTTTCATATAAGCAGTGCTGTACATAGCATATTATTGCCCTTTATTGACATTTAACAAGAATATTGTGTAAGTTCCATAGCAACAGTCCTGTTGATGCTGATCAGCTGATAGCATTGATTATTTCTTTACAAATCAGTCCATTTGGAATTGTGGCTGTGATTTAAGCAATATGTACCAACAGTAATCATTAAAGCATGCATGCATTACACGCGTATGTGCATGCGTCTAGCCTGTGTGTTGAGATAATGAGGCCCAGGAGTAAGTAAAAATAAATTTACCTTACTCCTAAGCTCTGTAACAATGTTATAGCTGTTACAGTGATAAGTATGTCACTGTATCCAGGCTACTACCATGATATGATAGTGAATTATGTAGGCTACTAACATGACAGTGAATCATATAAGCTGCTGATGTGATAATGAATTATGTATGCTACTACCATGACAGTGAATCACGTAAGCTGCTGTCATGACAATCGTATAGGCTACAACCATAGCAGTGAATCATGTAGGCTACTACTAATTCAGTGAATGCCATTGATTAAACTTATGTGTACTTTGAGTTAAGTCCTAATTTTGTATATGTAAATGAAAACATTTATTAATGAAAAACAAGCTTAACAGAAGAGCTGATAAACATCATTGTTTTGTGATCCAAACAGTAAATGAATAAAAAAAATCATTTAAAAGGAATTTAATCTAAGTATTGTTCAAAATGTTTGTAGTAGCTGTATATTTTTTTTTGTTTTTATACTAACCGAAGAGGATGTGCTTTGTATGTTACAGGAAAGTTACTGGTCTTCTCTGCATAATAAGATCTTAGAAATGATTCAGAGTCCACTTCTTAGTTCTCCGTCTCCTACTCTGAATGTGTTCCAAGTATTTGACTTTAGCAGCAACCATGAGAGCATGTGTGAAATACAGTGTAGTTATCTCGTTGCTCTTACACATGCAGTTTGGTACCATGCTAGCATCGGCCAGATGAGTGTCTTGCCTGAGTAAGGCCTTCTTTATATTTATTTATGTAATTGATAAGTTTTTTAGAGTAAGCAATGGCAACAAATGATCTTTAAAGAGTTATTGTTCAGTTAGTTTACAAACATAATAAGATCTTCATTTGTGTTTTACTCCTCATTAATTTATTATGAACCATTATAATATATTATTAACCTTTTCAATTATTACATCACATAAAATTAGGTTTAACTGCATCTGTTTTATTAATTCTCATAACATTCTTTAAAATGATTCTAAATGTTTATGGAGTACTATGAAAAATTTTACTTGTATATGAAGATTTGTATATTTATTATATTATCATCTCTGTGAGAAATGTATGGTGTTCTAAAATATGTAGCAAAAACTCCTTAATGTATCAAGCAGCTGAATACTTGACTTATTAAGAATAAGTTGATTTTATACCTTTTATAATTTTTCAGTAAGTCTTCTAGTAACTAAATAGTCCATATAATTATACTAGTTGCTTTACTCAACCATAGGAAATAGCTTTTGACATAGTAGTAATATTTAATAATTTAACTTCTTCCTAAGGCACTTTTTACTTTATTTTTAAACATTTATGATGCCTGTGCTAAGTGGTACATTTTAAATATGTGTAAGAACATTTTTTTTTTTTTGTTGTTTTTTTTCCAAAAGTTAGGGTACTTCACTTGGGGTTTTCATATAGACGAGCCCCCCCCCCTTCCAGTAGCACAAGTGATACATCTGCAGACTTGTACTGCTAGAAACCGGGTTTTGATACCCGTGGTGGGCAGAGCACAGATAGCCCTTTGTGTAGCTTTGTGCTTAATAAAAAAACATATTGAGGAAAAAATTAATATGTGGAATTTTTTAAGATAAATTATGACCATATATCGAGTGTAATGTTGTGCAAACTCTTTGTGTTGAATAAAGCTAATTAAACTTCACGATAATTGCTTTTTAGGATGATGTTGTATTTTATATTAAGCATTGAAATGAAATTAAATGCCACGTATTTGTTTATCAGCTGATAGCAAATTATTTGAACAAAAAGTACCTAGAACTCAGAAATTTAGAAGTCCTTTTATCATCGGAATGGTGCTAAAATTTCAGTCCTTGAAATGGTCCTAATAAAATTTTTAAAAATAAAAAACTTAACACAAATTTAATATAAAAAGAGTTTGGAATGAGATTTATTCATTTTTTGATCATTTTTGTTCAATTTTTTTCCTTCTCCTAGACTTCATTATATTGCTGTGTTGTTCAGGAAAACAGTTTTGAAGAAATTGCACATGTAAAAAAAAAAAAAAGAATGTAGAGAGAAAAAGAAACAATTATTTTTTACTGTGTAACTCCTGGCCAGAATCTTTCATGTTAAATTCTTAAGGTCTGTTCTTTATCAGGTTCTCTGATTATCAACTGATTTGTCATCTCTTGGGTCAGCAATAAAATGTTGATGTCTACACATTACAAGATTAAAAGTTTCTATTTCCTTCTGTTAACACTAGACCCTACTGCAATATGTCGCATCTGTATGCACCAGGCAGTCTCTTTAACTAGTGCTTTTTTTTTAATGGCATTATGCAAAAAGTAGATGATTCTAAATACTACTTAATAAAGTTCCTGATTTATTTACTGTTGGTAAGTCCTGTTTTGACATGTTATTTGTCTTTGGGATATATATTACTGGCATGCTTTTAAATCAACTGCGATAAATTATAGCAAACTGTTTATTAAAAGTAAAATTGAATTATTTTCATTATCTGGCCTTATTATGTATGAAACAACATTACTTCCATTACAGACCTGCATAATAAGGTCATACATGAAACAGATAGAGGATTTAATTTGGATACTTAATATTAGATGTTCTTGATTTGGAAACTTGGAGCCTCATCAGTTTTTCTCTCATTTTATTACGTTCATGAATAAGCAAGATGGGATTGGCAGTTTCATATATTCAAAGTTCAAGGACATAAAAAAGGGATTCATAAATGTTCTTTTTCACTAACCTTCAGGTTATATTCTGTATAGTAAGAATCATTATGATAGCATTTCAGTTGTTACTAATATCTAATGCTAAAACTCTAAGAATACTTGTTATATAACATTCAAGAGTGGTGTTTAGTATCTAGTAGCATAGAAACAAATATTGGCCTAGTAGTTGCTTCAGAAGATATTGTAACCTGAAGACAGTTTCTTATAATAGCATTTTATTAGCCAATAGTTTTTAAGATGATGTCAGATATTATGATTGGTCATGTCTCTTATAATAGCATTTTATTAGCCAATAATCTTTTGAAAAAAATGATGTCAGATATTATGATTGGTCATGTCTCTTATAGTAGCATTTTATTAGCCAATTGTCTTTTTAAAAAAAATAATGTCAGATATTATGATTGGTCATGTCTCTTATAATAGCATTTTATTAGCCAATAGTTCTTGAGATGGTGTTAAATATTATGATTGTTCACATACTGTTAAGTCACAAATAGATATTAACAAGAATTAATTTGTAATACATTTAGTACAGAAAAAAAGTGTAGTGTATAAATTAACGTTAATTGGTAGAAACTTGAATCAGTCAAACACAGTTTTGGTACTATTTAAATCCCATTTGCTGCTCAACTTTAACAATGTTTAAGTGGCTTTTATATTCATATACACAATTTTTTATATCAGTTTAAAAAATCTTATGATGTATTGAATTAAAATAAAATATTTAGTTGACTGAGTGTGAAAAGTTTTTTGTAACGGTAATGAATATGAGAGTAGCTGCACGTTTTAAGTATTCTAGCATACACTTCTAAAAACTTAAATCTTAGAAAAATTTACTAAATTATCAAAATAAAAACTTTACTTTTTACCATCATTTTTTTTTAAGGTTTATCAAGGAGCAGGTAAAACCTGTAATAACTAATGAAGAACAGTTTTTGTTCCTGTGCCACTTAGTTGGACCTTTTCTTCAACGTCTTTGGTCTGAGCGAACTCGTATTGTCATGGATGTAAGTTATTTGGTTAACCTTTGACTGACATGTTAAATATATTTCTAGGAAGAATGAAAAAAAAAGTATACCTTAAATGATACAACTAGATTTTTATCTGTCAAAAGATGTGTTCCATTTAAGCAGATGTGAAGTACTGTAACTTGGTTTTATACATTTTGGATAAGAGCAACAGTTAACCTGTATTATGTTTATACAAACATAATCTTTCATGTTTAGTCTTGGTCGTAAAGTGTTTTTGAATCTGGTTTATGAGTGTGATATTTGATCTTTTCTTTCTGCCTCCAGTAAATCTGACATACGTTATATATATAAGTAAATTTAAATAATAAGCCTAAAAGGTAAATGTTTCTTGGTAAAGACTTAAGGTGGCAGACGGACATTGCAGATGATTTTCAAGATGGTATACATAATTTCAAAATATCGAGTCAAAAACTGAACAAGTTTTGTTTTTCAGCTGACTTTAGAGTTATACCTGATTCTTCAGACAGTTGATCAGTCATGCGAGCACCTGAATCATTTGGTTCCTATCTGCGACTTACTGTATCCTTATGCTGTAATAATGATAAGTGATTTTTTATTACTTTACCTATATTTTAATTATAAATGCTTTGTATTACTTGACCTATTCTTGGAATACCTAGTGCTATTTGATAATAATGTATCACCTTTTCAGAACAGAAATGCTTACAGTTTAATAACAATTATGTCCTGTAAGTACTTTATAAGATAAGAATCAAAATGTTGTTATGTATGAATACATATGCCTGTGTCTAGCATAACAAATGATTAGTCCTAGTTTCTGTATAAATAAATAAATTCTTAAAATATTTTTGTACATTAGCAAAAGTTATCTGATGTACGGTACAGCAGCATCAGTTTTTCTCTCATTTTATTAAGTTCAT